GGAGGGATCAGGCAGGGCAGGGGGGGAGAATGCAAATGTCCACGGGGAGCATCTCTCACCCATGGGGCTGTGAGCGAAATGTCAGCAGCTCAGGGCCCCGGGAGGTGTCCCCCAGCCCAGCCAGGGCTTGCAGGCATCTGTCCCTGTGGTGCCCCTGAGACGCGTGGTGGGGCTACCTGGCGCTGCGGGGAGCTGAGGGTGTCACCTCAGGGGGACAGGATACACCACTCCAACCTGTTACAGCCAATCCCCGTGGTAAATAGTTTTTAAGAGTGTTTTATTTTGTCTTTTTATTTTTTTTCCATCTGTGCCCTGAGCTCCTGAATTCGTGTTCTCCAGCTTTTTCTCCACAACACTGAGGATGCAGCAGATTCCTTTCCTATCAGCACCACCCCTCCTCAGCTTTTCTAAGGGGCTGCTGAGAGGCTGCCTGCCCTTGGGACGTGGTGCTTGTCCCAGATGTCAGCAAGGGCATTTCTGGGCACCGTGGGCACAGTGTGGGGGGGCTGACACCCCCGTGGGATGGCCAGCCGCTGAGGGACAGCAGGAGGGCAGGTCTGGTGGAGGGCTCCTGCAGGTGCTGAGGGCAGGGAGCTGCTGCTCAGCTGAAATCTTTGGGGACACCAAAACCAAACCTTGTGAGGCTTTTGGATGGGAGGGCAGCAGTGACCATCCCTGTCACATCCCTGTTGGTCCTGACCCCCACCGCAGCGCAGCGAGGGCCCGGCTCATCACACCCACACCAGCAGGTGTTTTTTTGGTTAAACCATTATGAATGTAAATGATCCTGCTCAATTACAAAAGCCTGCGTGAACTGGCATCTTTAAAGGAAACTCTGAAAGATCTCCTGGCACGGCGCTTCTTCAAATAGTTGGAGGCTTCGCTGAGTCTCCTGAAACAAAGGCAGGCGCCGCCGCCCGCGAAGGGAGCAGGGATGGCCAAGAGCAGCCCCCTGCACCAGGCTGGCCACCAGCATGCACCCAGCACTGGTCGCTGCTGGGATGGCAACTGGGTGGCACGAAGAGCGAGGAGGGACAGAGAAGCCACCTACCCTGCTGTGCCAAACCTGTGGCTGGTGTCCTGGCTGCCTGCTTGGAAGACAAGCTAAGCATCTTCCTTGCTTCAGTGTATGTTTTCCTCCTGATATTCATGCTTTCACCCTGCTGTGCTAAACTGAATTTATAATTTTTGCTTCTTTTGGGAAGCTAATTCTGCAATAAGGTGCCCGGTGCAATGAGACACAGCTGTGCTGCTGCCCTCTGCCCGGGCTGTGCCTGTGGCTGATGGGTGCTCGTGCCAAAATGCCACTTGTGCATGGTTTGGGCAGCGCGATGCCCGGCCAGGCAGGGCCAAGTGGAAGTGAAATGGATGGTTAAATGTGTGGGGTGGCCGCCTTAACACACTGCGACAGCGCTTCCAAAACAGCGAACCGCTTTATTTCAGGTTTGATATCTGCTATCAATTGAGATTGAAAGTATTGATCCGGGCTGATTGCTGGGGACAATCAGAAAGCGGGAGGGTAATTGGCTGTCATGTCCCTCATCGATCGGGCCCCGCAGTTCGCAGCCGCTAACATTATTTCGAGTACTTTGCAGCGTCTGCTCTCACAAGGAAACGCAGCATTTAGCTAACAAAGTGGCTCGCGTGCTCTGCCGGCCAGAGGGTGGGTGAGGCCACTGCTAGCCAACACAGCACCGCCGTAGCCAAACAGAAAGGTGGCAAACGGGAGAGTGAGAGGGAAGGAAAGCGTGGATTTGTGCTTGTGCCATTGAGATGCTGCAGGACCAGCCCGCTCGCCTTGCTGTTCGGCTGCAGCAGATATTAAAGAAGACAAAGAAGGCGCTGCATGCAGGCCATGTGCCAGGAGAGTGTGACCTTGTCTGTCTAGGTTGTTTGAAATGTTAAAGCAACAAATACTTTATACCATGTGTTCCACCAGGGCTCGCTAGCAGCTGATCCAGAAAAACTATCCTGGGAGAGGAACAAATTGGGAAACATCCCAAGTTGCTGCAATCAAATCCACAAAAAGCTCATATAAAATTTTTACATATAATCAGAAGGATGGAAAAATTACCTTATTCCCTGCTGTGCACTTCAGATTAATATAGCCAAACATTATTCAGTCCTAATACTTACGGTGACCATGAAACCTCTTCCAGTACTTACTAGCAACAGGCAGATAAAATGGCTTTCTCCTAGAGGACACGTATCTGCTGCTGGCTTGTAATAATCTGCTGTGTGTGCTGTTGGATTTTAATAATCCTGACTGCCTGACATTCCTGCTCCTCACCTGTGAGCTTTTTTTGGTGGGGACTGCTCCCTGCGATCAGAGGTGCAGTGCAATCACATGGGATTTAGTTGATCCGTGAGATTCCTGTTCACAAACACTCTGAAGAACCTGAGCGGGTGCAGGGATGGAAGGTCCTAATTTTGACTATGCCAAACCCCAAGCTTGCTGCTCCTCATCCATGATGGGGGATAGCTCAGGTGCTCCTCGCCCCGCTGGGCTGTGCTGCTTTCCCACTAATGACACCGGCTGCTCACAGATATGAGCAGCTGAGAGCAGCTTCAGGGATGCTCTTGCCGAAAACCCAAGCCTGCAACAAGCTCTGAAGCAGGACTTGGCAAGCTTGTTTCTACCAGTGACTGGTACCAGGCATTTTGCTGGTCCATAGTGTTCAGCTCACTGGGTGCCACCAGCCCAGCTCCCAGCACCGCAGGTGTCAAAGCCCATCCCCGAACAGGTTGCATTTCAGTCAGGGCTAAAGCAAAGCAGAGGGTTACCATGTATGCAACTTTCCCCAGACATTCTCCACCTGAAAGTTGTGTACAGGCAGATCTGGAGGATTTTGTGTGTTTGTCTCAGATTTCCCAATGTCTGGCAGCCTGTTGGGAGCTGCCAGATGTCCACAAACGCTGACCTCGCCCCCTAGGCATGCACGAGCTCTTTCACTGCAGTCTCAAAGTGAGTCCAGCTCCTCCAGCACCCCAGGGTCATCGTGTGTGTGCTGCTTGGTGCCTTTCAGAGCCCGCAGGAAGCCCAGGAGATGCCAGGTCTCCTGCCTGCACCCTGCCAGCGGTACAGCTGGCTATCCATCCGTGTGATGCACCCTGAATCTTTCTCCTGGCGTGCAACACTCTTTGTTCAACATTTTGCAGTGTTTTAGGGGCAATGTTCTGGTGAGAAACCATACACAGGATGAAGCCAATGGATCTTGTGCACAAAGTGTTGACTGAGCTATACCCATCTCAGCCTTGCCTCTGCTGCTGGAGCACTCACCCTAAGCCCCAGAGTTGTTTTCTTGCTTATAACTGAGCTGCCCTTGGCTGTCCCCAGACTTCCTATTTCCTTCAGATGGCCAAACCCCATTCAGGTAAGCGTTGGACCCTTCCCACCCCCAAAATCACCCCACTGCCTTGCTTCGCCTCAGCTGCTTGGTGCCGCTGGCGGAGCGGAGCAGCCGGTGGTGGCAAAGTGCTCGCACCTCGGGGTGCAGCCCCTGCGGCGGGCGGTAGGGCTCGTGACTCAGCCACGTGTGTGGGATGGTTTCTCATCCCACCCGAAGTTTCCCTTCCTGGGAAGCGGGGTGGCTGCGCCGGGACGCGTGGGCTGCGCTGGCCCCGGGGAGTAAAAGCCAAAGTGTGCCGGCGGAACGGCTGTGGTGTGGGGCAGCCCGAGCACGGAGCCGCTGTGGTGGAGGCCTCAGGCACCGGGTGAGGGTCACAGTCGAGGTGCTGGCTCAGGCTGCGGTTACACATGCAGGAGAAACAGGAAAGTTGCTGCACTAGGTCGGGTCAACAGCTCGGCTGAGCTGAGGCAGTTGGTTCAGAGAGGGGGAAGTCCTACCAACAGCACCTGTGCGCTGCCACCCTCCCCCGTTTTGCTGCTAATCCCAAACTGGTGTAAAAATGGAGGTGGAGGAGTGGGGTCCCCTCTTCAGAATTGCTTCTGTGAGGGTTGCATGCACACTCCTGAGTAAGGAGCACATCTCTTCCCACTAGATTGCCTGGAGGAAGGGAAGGAGGAAGAGAAATGCTGGCTGAACCAGCAGCTAGCACTTAGGGGCAGAAAAATAAAAAATAAAATGTCACAGCATTCATTTACACAAGATAAGAAGCATTTCTCCTTAGCGAGTGGATATATTGCAGGAATATATTGCAGAACAAGCAGGGCAAATGCATGCCACAGCTTAGCGAAACAAGAGTTAAACAACATCAAATCATTCCCCGTGATGGATCATTAAGGATGTGGAGTCTAAATGTGCAGTAAGATTACAGCATCGTGCAGATGTTCCTATACTGGCAGCTTATTTTGCATATTGCAAAGTATATAGATAATTCCTGGTAGCAAGCGCACGCAAAGTCTAGCCCGTCCTATGGTGAATGCACATTTGGATTGTTCTACAAGGTGAATTTTGTGGGGTGGAAAGGACTGATCTAAACTGCTCACTTGGATTACAGCTGCCTTCATCTGGCGGCAGGACTTCCCTGCCTATGACCTCGCCACCTTTGCCCAGACAGAGTTTACAGGAGGGACAGACGGACGGTGAGTGAGACGGGTTAAGTAAACAAGAGAGGGGGACGAAGTAAGTGAAGGCTGAGGATTTCTATTTTTTTTTTCCCGTGTATGATATTGTAACAAAATTTAAGGCAACATTCCTCCTGCTAATTAGTGTTTCCACGGCACTGCAAAAACTACAGCTGTAGGAAGAATTCAGGAAAAGTAATCAGCAGCACAATTAAGCAATCTGCCATAATGACAGAACACAACATTAGGGTAGAATAATCAGAAACATATATATTTTTCCTCCTTGATTTTCACATCCCACCCAATGATTTGCTTTTGCAGGGTGTATATAAAGCGATGCCCGATAGAAATGCCCGTATTTATCTGCCACAGCTTGCAGGCTGTGCTCCAGTGAAGATGCCCATGTTAATTCTTGTCAATCACTTATAACTGGCATTGCTTTTAATATATATATTTTTGAAAACCCAGTGTTTGACACCCTGTTTGATGTTCAGAAGGGCCCAGCTCCTGTAACGGGAAGGTGTTAGTCCTGACAAGGAAGCCTGGCACAGAGGCCCCTGTGTTTCTGCCGGCCGTCCCCCTCTCAGAAGCGGATCAGGGAGGTGGTGTGGTTCACACAGTGTTTCTGCAGCCTCGATCTCCAGTTCATGAGAGGAAAATGCCACCACCTGTGTGCAGATGGTGAGGGGACAGCCTGACCCGCCACACCTGTGCTGTTTGCCCAGAGCTCCCCAGGCCTGGGGAGCCCAAGAGGCAGGTAGGCCCTGCCTTGTGTGAGGGGAGGTTTGAAGGGGATAAAGCACAGTTTCTTGAACATGGAGGTTCAAGCATCTTGGTATCCTGCTAGCTGAGATCAAGGCTCGTTAGTCTCAAGCCAAGGAAAGGATCCTGTGTTGCTGTGGGAGGTAGGTCTTCCTGGGCTCTGCTCACAGGGCTTGCTGGCTGCTGGGGGGGAAGCGGCTGTGGAAGGGCTGGGGGCGATCTGCGTGTCCTGGGGGGCTGAGGGGTTTGTGGTGGTGCTTCTGGAGAAGCCTGGTGGCCTTTTATTGAGGTAATGGTGCTGTGTGGTGGTGTCGTGGGGCTCCAGAAGTCTGCTGTATTGGTGCCGGGGGCTGTGGTTAGGAGAGGGGGCACAGAGCAGCGGGCTGGTGAAGCACATGGGGCTGCTGCTGAAGGTGGCATGGTTCGGGTGGTTGTGCTGGGGGTTCCTGCCTCTTGTTCACAGCCAAGGTCTTGCTTGTTGTTGGTGCTCCTTACAGAAATGGCTGGATGGTTCTAGAAGTTCTTGGGAGGAGTAATCCAACTTTGTAACCTCTAGTGCAAGGGCAGGTCTGAGGTGTTTGAATTTGTGTCTGGTTTATAAAAAAACATCTTATGTCAGAAGTAAGCTAGAAAATGTAAATATGTTCCACCAATGCATCTCTTTGCTTTGCGGCCTATATAACCTAATGAAATGGCAATTATAAAATTCTATATTTTTATAATGAAAACTTCCTGATAATGTCATAAGATCAGCTGGAAGCATGGTACCTTTATAACGTAACATTTGTATTTTGGGCTTCAGGAGAAAATTTAGAGTAAGAACTACCAAAGGCACATAGGACTGAAGATGGCTCCTTCAGGCCCTACTGAAGATCTCAGTTCCACTTTGTTTGGTTTTCAGTATTTGCTTTTGCACGGCTGGTGCAGGTCAGGTATCTGGTGGCCAGATTCTGCCATTGCTCAAGCTGGCACACAGTCCCGTTACCATTACAGCTTCCAGAAAAGCTCTTCTGAGTTCAGAGCTGCTGTTGTTCTGCATGGTCCCGTTTCATCTGGGAGACCATCCCCACCAACACACACGGAGCTGTGCCTCCCTTTCCTGTGTGCTCGTTCAAGTGGAAACCAAGAGCACCATGTCCAGAGATGTGCCTGCAAAATTTGTTCATGAAATCTGAAGCCATGGAGGAATGCTGGGTTAATTTTTCATCTGAGTATCAACTGAGAGTAATGTATACCCCAAATTAATGCAGACAATGCCTAGTCTGGTCGGCAGGCTCTCTGTATTTTTGAATTCTTTTCTACTAAAACTCAATAAAAACATGGGGGTGGAAGGTGCTGCTGGGAATTTGCTTTTTGTTCTGCTTAAGTGCTGTATTTCTCAGCAGTCTTCAAGTTTCTCAGCGTGAAGATATTGTTACCTCAGAACTACCGTGGGTTTAACACAATTCTCAATTTGCAGGCAAATGGATGTATTGTGTTGGGGCTTATCCACAGAGGACTGTGAAACTACAAATTACAATCCAGCTGCATTTTCTTATCTGGATTTTTTCCCCATGTGCCCGTGAGTCCTCCCCTCTACACAAGTAGAAGGTGCAAAGAGAAACTTGAGTGAGAAAGCAGAGATGTAAGCCCAAAGGGACCCTGATGGCACAGAAGATCCTGTCTGTGTCTGTGGGTGCTGGGTTTCAATGGGATGGTGTGGCTGGTGCCTCTCTGGGACTGGATGGAGCTACCATGTTTTACATTCACAGAGGATGTGACGTCTCTGAATTTAGTTGTTTCTTTTTTTTTTTTTTTTTTTTTTTTTCTTTTGTGACTGCCTGGAGACTTTGTTTCTGTAACTGTCCTTAATAAAAATAAATCAAGGCAGCCAGAGGTAACAGTCAATACATCTGCTGCAAGTCTCTCCACCCAGGAGGAAGGGAAAGAAGAGGGCTACCCTTTCTCTTGCTAATTATGGCAGTGAAATAGGGGATCCACCCACTCAACTTCCTCAGCTGTTCTCCATCCTCACCCCCCTTCCTTGAAGGGAGTATGCCACCAGCAGGCCCCCAGGGGCGAGACAGCACTCAGCAGGAGTTTGAGACAAAGCTTTCCCACCTCTTGCTGGGCCCCAGCCAGGTCTCAGAGCCTCACCTACCTTGTCACAGCTACGTGGTGGGGGCCAGGTTGGGTACCGGAGCCCCGTGCCTGCCAGGGGACCCCTGGCTCGGATGCAGTGCTGGAGGGAAGGAAGCCTGACCGGGGCTGCTGACAGCCAGGGCAAGCTCTCAGCTGGGGTTCTTCAAAGCACAGGGCTGTGTTACCTGATTCTGGTGACGTTTGGGACACCTGCTAAGCAGTAACAGCGAAAACTCAATGACTTCATGGTAACACTAGGTTTATTTGCTTCCTTTAAATGGCTGTGGATGTACAGGATGCTGACAAATGGGAGGTGAACTCATCATTTAGTTGGCCAGGAAATAAATGTATCAGAGTGGCAGTACTTTTTTGGGGGCTCTTTTTGCCATTTGAGGGTTGCTGGCCACTCTGTGTGCTGGCTCAGCTGAGGCAGCAGCAATGTCCATGTGTTCTGTCAAAGCACTTTACTTGTGACAGGCAAAGTGCTGCCCTGAACTGGAAAACCATTCAGAGCAAATAAATGCATTAGTTCAATGCAGAGTATCTTATATTTGATACACACCACTTCCTAATCACTTTACTGAACATCTGGATTGCCTTGAAATGAAACCAGTGCTGGCGTCATCTTCAATTTGGACATGGGATCCATTTCTGGAGCCTTTTTCCAGGAGAGGGCCTCTTGGATCTCAGTGTCATTTAGGTTGGGTCCTACAGGTCTAATCTATAGCAAATAAAATTAATGATTGCTTCAGTATTAAAGGAGAACAGAAAGTAGCAGGCAGGAGCCAGCTGAGCCCTTTGGTACTCGTAGTCGAAATCGTAGAAATGCATTAAAAAGTGTGGATGTTACTGAGGAGGGGGCATTTTCACGCCCCTTTGAAACCTGGTTTTAGGGAAGTATCCAGTACAGGTGTTTTCTGGCAGAATTAATGCTTAATAACTAATTGTGATTGTTAACGTGGCATACAGGAGACCGTAATTAAACTCACTGTGCTGGTAAAAGATGTGAAAGAGCACGCAGCACGCGAAGGCACTGGGCTGCTCGGAGCGTGGTGAAAAGGCAGAGCGAGGGGGATGACACAACGGCACAGAGATGCACTCGTATCGCTGCGGGCTGGGCTCGGCTGAGCAGCAAAAACTGTTTGCAACATCTTTTTGTCAACATCTGTTTGTCTTCGAGTTCACGAAAGTGGAACAAATCTCATTAATTTTTTTTGCTTGCCCTGGAATTTTGCACGATTGTTTCTGTTATCTTGGCAGCCAAAACGATGCTGGAATGTTTCACCTTTTTCCAAGTTTTGGAGCCGAGTTGTTCAGTTGAGGTTTGTCACATAAATCATGAGGTTTTACTTCTGCTGCTAGCCAAATCGTAATCCTTATATCATAAGCCTTTTGTTGTTTATTGTTTCTTTTTCCTTAAAGCTCCAGCTTCTGGAATCATGAGAATGCATGAAAATCTCTACTTCTGCTTTCTGTCATGTGTTTGTTTTTCCTTGAGTTTCTAGCACCGCGAGCTGTGGAGAAACTTTTGGGTGTCATCTGAAATACGAAAAGACAGAATTCATTAAATTTCTTTCTTTTTTTTTTTTTTTTCCCTTTTATACCAGTTAGATAATTTTTGGAAACTGTGACTCATGACTTTGAACGCGTCGATCTGGCACCGCTGCAGCTCCCACGTGACGGGGAGCGCTGGAAGGAGCCGCGCGGGGCCCGGCTGCGCGGACAAGTCGCGGCACAGCGAGCCGGGTGTGGGGCTGCGGTGCCCTCCTCGCTCAGATTCCCCACGTGGATGCACAGAGTGCGGTGCCTACCCCATGGAAGCAGTCTCAGGACGTGTTTCTATGCGAGGAACAGACAGCGTGAGGTTCAGAGCCCCTCTAGGTGACAGCCACACGCTTGTGAGCCGGAGGTAGCTGGAGAGTTTTGTGCTTCCAAGTGATTTTGTTAGCAAGGGCACGGCTCTGAGCTGCTGCTGCCGTGGGGGTGTTGAGCACCTCCAGGCTGGGATGTGTTTGGGGATGCTGAACGTGAGGCTGTGTCCCCACCTCGTGTGGCAGGGGCTGGCTTCGTGTAGCTCCCATCCCCTTCATCTCAGCGGCTCTCTTGTGCATCCTCTGAGCCTGTTGGAGGGGACAGGGGTGAGGACCTCTGTTTTTTCTGCTCGGCACAGGCAGGCGTGCTCTGCGGTACCCCAGGGCCATGTGTGGGAAGGTGGTGACACCCGTGTGACCTCTGGGGGACTTCCTGAAGCCTGGGTGACTGCACTTACCATGGAAACTCTCCTGCGGGCTCCCCACCTCCAGCAGCTGGCTGCCACGGGGGCGGTGTGGCTCGGGGTGAGCATCAGGGGGATGGGGACAGCCCTAAACACCAGCGGGGATCCCTTTGGATGAGCTTGGGGCAGCCTCGAGGGAGCAGTTCCAGCTCCCTGCTGGATGTTCACATCAATTGTGGAGCAAGAAAAGGAAAAGGAGACGTCAAGGCAGACCTGGCAAGGGGGGACCAGGGGAGAAAAGCCTCTCTGGGTGTAATTCAGCCCGTGAGCAGGGCAGAGCTCTGTGCTGACTGCATCAGGGCCTGGTCTGAGCAGAGGGCACGGGGCTGGGAGGGGAGCTCAGCCTGGGTGCCGGCCGGGCCGAGGTCTCTGCCCCTCAGGAAGCTGCCAGGGATTTGTGTGTTTTCCATGCAGCACAGACAGGATGCTGAGGGGTGGGAGAGAGACAGATTTCCTTCTGCTGTGAATAGGCTGGGGGTGGGGTACGGCGGCTGGGATTTAACCCTTGCCTGCTCCTTTCATCTCCAGAAGGAAGCAACGTCTTAGGAAGCCGTGCCAAGAAATGGCAGGAATTGGAGGCACAAGAAGTACGAGGCTGTTGGCACAGGGGTGATGCTGTGAGTTTTATTACCCTAGTTCTCTTCCCCCCCCAGGCGCGTCTCCCTGGCTCTGGCATTGCTTTTTGCTTTGAAGTTTGTTTGCTCAGTGGCATCGCTAGGACCCAAAGGAATGCTGGAGGTGCCAAGGGAGAGGCTTATAAAACGGGACGTTGCTTTGCGTCAGGTTGTGGGAGACAGCTGTGCACTGGGGGGCTGGGACGAATTGCCCTCAGAAGTCTGGGAAAGATGGGATTTTGTTCCTCTCTTAAAGGGAAGAAAAAAAAAAAGGCGAGTAGCTCCTGAGATGGTGCCGGTGTTCAGAGTGAGGTCTCCTCTGCATCTGTGGCAGTTGCTAACAGGATGACCTGGAGGAACAGAAACCACACATGGCCACCCCCAAACCTGAGCCCTCAGAAGTGTTGCAGACACAGGACCTGAGTGCAGGAAGCCCTTTAGGGTGCGAGTACCTACAGACGTTTGGGAGAGGAGCCTGCTATGAGGGAAGCCAGGGCAAACGATGTTGTTTACCGCAGCAGAGCAGTGGAGAGTCCACATGGCTGAAAGTTGGCAGCCGGGCTGCAGGTGTGGTGAAAGAGCCGTGTTTTCTAAACACATTAAATACTTATTGCTCTGGCCTTTTGTAGATAAAGATCAGCTTCGACTTTAAAAGAAATTATAGCAAAAGTGCTTGTATATGGGAGGATGAATGCCTGCTTCCAGGTTGGGCTTTGTAGAATAGGACTTCATAAACAAAATATTTGATGCGATTAACCAAGTCAGAGGGTTGGTGGAAATGTGCCTCAGACTCTCACAGTATCGGGGTGGAAGCTGTAATGTGTCTGCCAGAGAATTACCCTGAGCAGGAATAAACAGCCAGAAGGTTCTTGGGTGTGAGGATTCCCATTTAAATAATTCCTTCTCTCTGAAAAAACCCGCAGCAGAAATAATAACCTCCTGAAAGTCAGAAATTTCGGTGGGATTCAAAACACTCTCTTTGCTCTGCGGACGTTTGATGTGCAAAGATGGCAGAGAGCACTTGTGCACCACCGAGAGCCAAAGAGTTTGTAGGAAAACATCTGGTCCTAGGCTGAGCAGATAAAGAAAGCTTTCGGTAGCTCTGATAATGCCTCTGCCTCTATGGCTGTGCTAATTTCACCGGGAAAAACGGTCCCTCTGCTGACCTCGCTAAGTTTTATGGAGCTGGGAGGTTGGATACAGAGATAGCAGCCTGCTCATCCCTATGGTAAGCATGACTTACAAACAAACTTAAAAATAAAGCCCCAAAAAAAGGCTGGACAATCCACTTCACCTCCACTGGGCTCACGTGCTGCTGAGGATGGGATGCGAGTCCCACCACAGCTCTGGTGGGCGAGGGTTGAGTGAGAAAGTGGCTTGTGGTGGCTGGAAATTGCCTAATGGGGTGGGCTTGTATGCTCCGGGGGGAGATCTCCATCCACAGAAGCTGGCCAGCGAGGTGCTGAGCTCTTGGCAGAGGCCAGGCTGGGGGAGGTGGGACACGGGGCTGGGGCTGGCGGGTGCTTGGGGCATCCCTGCGGGTGCCATCCGTCCTCAGGTGAGGCCAGGCTGTCCCATCCGCTCGAGCCGAAGCTCCTGCCCCGTCCAATTGCTCCAATTAGCGCTGTGGTTTGTTTTTCTTTCTTAAGAAGGGTGCTTGAGACCTGCCTGTTTTTGAGCCGGGCTCTCTTTAATCTGTCCCTGCCATCATTGAGGTTAAGTGAGCTCCTTGCCCAGCAGCTCCTTCGGCAAATTAGAGAGAACCGTGGAGACACTGCCAATGAGCTTTCCGCCGTGCAGATCTTGCCCAGCAGAGCCGGAATTAATTAGGTCATGCTGCCATATGCAATCCCTGCACCTGAGGTTTGACCTAGCTCCTGTGAAAGCCGGCGGGGCAGGGCCGTGTCTGGGAGCTGGACAGGAGCTGTGGCTGGGGATTTGGGCAGGCCAGGGCGGAGCTGTGCCCTTCATTTTTGTGGACCAGTTTCATTTGCCCGGGAAGATTGATGTCTTCCTGCGGGAGCTCTGTCTGTGCCGAAGCGTCTGGAACAACATTGCCAACGTACCTTGGG